TTCTTAAAATGAGAGGGATAGATGTTTATATATTTTGATTTTTCCTAAGAGATTCAATAAATCTAAAAATCTCTTAAAATGAGAAGGATAAATGTGCAACTATTTTGACCAAATGTGCATATATATTTGGAAAAATTGCTTTAAATAATACAACCTTTTGCCCGTCCGCTAAAAACAAGTTCACCTTTTGATTATCCCAGAATAATGCCACCTTTGGGGGTTGTCCGCTTTAAACGGGTTATTTTACCTACAACCTGAGTAATCGGTTAATTTTTTTTTCTTTTTAATAAATTCATTTAACAATCTAATTAATCTTAATAACAACTTTAATTATGATTTTATTAATAATTAAATAAAAAAACAAAAAATAAATCAGGCCCTCCTCCTGCCCCTGCCACCTATCACCCTCCTCCCTTACCACCGCTCCCCCACCACTCAAGACACCACGCAACACAGCAGCAAGCTCCGGCCAGCAGAGCCTAACCACAACCACCAACGGCCGTCGCAGCACCACCAATTAGCAACAAGTTCTTCGGAGCCTCGCAATTCACCCACAAAACCCCCAAATTGATTTGAAAACCCCCCTTTCCAAAACCCAGCCCCAAAACCGCCCTAACCGAAACTAGGGGATGGTGATTTTGGTGGTGAAAGTGGAGGGGATGTGGCGCTGCTGGTTGCGAGGGAGAGTCGGGGTTTGTGAGTGTTGTTGCTGTTGTGGTTAGTGGGTCTGGTGTTAAGGGTTTGTGGTGGTTGGTGTTTTGGGTGGTGGCGAGGGTTTCGCGGTGTTCAGGGAGTTTAAGGGTGGCACTGGGGTACGAATTGCTGCGATTTGTGGGGCTGTATGGGTGGCGACTTGTTGGTGATGGAGAGTTGCGATGTTTGGTGATTTCGGAGGTGCGACTGGTTGGTGGTTGAGAGTTGCGTGGTGGTTTTGGTGTTGTTGATGCCGCTGCTGTTATTGTTGTTGTTATAGAAATGGTCGTGGTGGGTTTTCGGCCTGGCTGCGACCACCACCTTCTGGCTGGTGGCGTCGTAGACTCGTGCGTCGGCCGGAAATGCTCTGGCTGGCGTTGTGGGCTGCTACTCCAGTGGCTGACCACCGAACTCCCTTCCCCCTTCCCACAAAATAATAATAATAATAATAATAATAATAATATGTATTAGCCCTGACTTTTGTATGCATATGAAGAGACTAGTAGGACGGATTGTAAACAAACTTAAAGCATGGAAACAATGGTAAAAAAATCATTTACATAAATATGTTAATCAATCAATGTTCAGCTTTAATTTTCGTATTATAATAACTATTTGTCTAAGATTTTAATTTTTTAATCATGTGTTATCGTTGAAATAATCACTGATGCAATAATTGTTCTATTATCTTCATCCATATATCACAATGCATAAAATTATTAAAAGCACAATTTAAATTATGTATTACCAAATCAGAATATTCAATTTTCAATTATTTATGACTTCATATTATAAGATGTTTTGGATTTTTTTTTTATTTTTTTTTATTAACAATCTATCTAGCATCTATTAATCTATATAGATAATACAAAGCGTATGACCAATATAATTAGATTTTTCATATTGGGTACTGTGTATATTTCTTCTACTTCTTTATTTATTCTTTAAGCCATAATCATGATAAATTAATACCATTGAACTTTAAATTTTTTTAAAAAATTATATGTGGTGATAATTTTCATATTATTGAATTTAGATATAGATTTTATATATTTGAAAGTTTTAAACTTTTTGAAACAAAACAGGAAAGCTTATATGAAATCTAGAGCCGCCAGAGAAAGAAAACTTTGGGGAAAATCGTTTGCACAAATACACTCAGAGTTCATCTCATTTTCTCTAAACCGGTTTTATATGAAAACAGCTAAAGAAATCAAAGACATTACTCAATCTATGAATATCATCATAGAAGTGGAAAATCGGAGCAGCACCTCCTTTCTTTGCTTGATTGAAAGTTTTAAACTAATCTATAGCGATAGAAGTCTATAAAAGGTATTTACTCTGCTTGTATATTTGTTCTAAAATATTAATATGAATTTCTTAATGGTGATTAAAAGCATTCTTAAATCATGCATGCATCGCACACATTAAGCGCTAATATACATTTATACAATACCAAAGGTAGGTTTTATAATTAAGTTCAGAAGTACGATACAGAGTACATGATAGGAATAATTTCTTAAATCCTACTTTTCGAAGTAGTAATTATACATGAAAAGAAAATGCTCAACATCCAAGTAGGCTTGCAAGGTTGATCACGCTCAAATGCTTTTTGGGTCGTCTCATACCTTGTAATTGGTGTTTATCTCCAATTATCTCTATAAAATAGAAAATTATATATTTATATACAAATAAAGGGTTTTCTTGTTAGGCCCCGTTTACTTCACTTTGTTTTTGCTAAATTGAAATTATTTTTACTGAACTGATATAATTTTTGCTGAACTGAAATTAATTTTACTGAATTGAAATTATCTTTGCTGAACTGAAATTATTTTTACAGATTTTCTGTTATATTTCTTTTTTAAAGTTACTGATTTTTACTGAACTGAAATTATTTTTACTGAACTGAGCTTATTTTTACTGAACTGAACTTATTTTTGCTGAACTGAAACAATTTTTACTGAACTGAAATTATTTTTACTGAATATATAGTTTTTTTAAGGTGAAGTGAACAGGGCCTTACTGAAGTACTTGTATAATTTAATTAATTTAAGATAAGGTACGACGTTTTCTCTCTTAAACCCTAGCCTCCATTGTTAATTTTGAAGGGGCTTCTATCGGATTTTACCGGTGAAAAGCCCCAATCTTTGTTTTCTTTACGTTTTTTTTGTTTCTTAGGTTATAATAATGCATGTCTCACTCGAAAGAAAGGGTTTATCTCCCTCGAAAGACAAGGTTTTTTCGATCTCTTTCGAAAGACAAGGTTTTATTTGCGCTTAATATGGTCTGTAGTTGTGCAGGGCTACGATTGATTTTTGCTTGGATTCGGGTTAATAAATCAGCACAAGAATTTTCTCTCACACAATCAAATTATGAAGCGACTACTGATCCATTCAAAAAGTTGTATGAGACAACGAATCGAGAATGTGCCGAATTGTTATATCTATGTATTTGGATTCTTAGCCCTTCCCCGGTTAATTCTTGTTTGATTTTGTCAAATCTGTTTTCATTATCGTTAATTGTCAATTGTAAATGTCGTATGACTTTCATTAATGAAATATAATGTCCTTTAGGAATTCTTTCAAAAAAAAAAAAAAAGGCTTTACTTGTTACTAATGTAGCCTAGTCATTGTTGTTCTTTAGATCCCTGGTTTCACTTTGATAGTATCATAGATCAAGTCAATGCAAAGGAAATGAATGCAATTTCAATAATATTCAAACTGCTAATAAAATAATAATCAAGAAATAATATTAATATAGTCTAAATGCAAAATCACACACTCCACTGGATCTTACGGAGCCCGTTCATTCATCACATGATTTAGGGTTGATCATAGAATAGATTCTCTTGAAACGAACCAACCTATCCTCTTTACAGGACTTATATGGCGGTTGGACAAAAGACTCATTTGAGTATGAATATTAATGCGACAAAAACGGACATATACCTCCACGACCGAATCAATAATTCTTTTTGGTCTAAAGAGTGCCACAAATGTCAATGATATCTAGAAAACCCGACCCTAAACAACCTTTAGTTGACCTGAAACTCCTTGATTGGCAATCGTTAATAGTTGAGGTCGAGCCCAGCTATGTATTTATGAGGTTGCCACCAAAATGAACATTTACTATAACAAAATTGAACATTTTCTAACTGAACATATTTTACAATAATTTTGTATTTCGCAATAATTAAATGTTCATTTTCATGCAGCATGATGTTCATTCTTATAAAATAAATGTTCATTTTCATGCCATATGATGTTCATTCTTATAAAATAAATGTTCATTTTCTTTAAAAATTAATACAAATTTTTGTGTTTGTTCAGTTGTATAAAATGTTCGTTTTATAGTAAAGGATGTTCAATTAACATTAGCATTAATAATGTTAGACATTAGCATTTTGATCTTTATTAAAAAACTTACTGTTGATTTATTTAATTGGTAAATCATATAGTTCAGCAAATTGCAAGATATCCATTCAAGATTGAACTAATCAAGGTATTTCACTTGAAACTTTAAAAAATGTTGATGAATAAACAATAATATTATATGTTCATTTTATTTACAACTGAAATGATCATTATAATATTAGATGTACATTTTTTTTTTCCCCAGTTTCATAGTCTCTTTATTTTTTCGAGAAAAATGATTCTAATATTCTAATACTAAATAATTGATAAAATCGGATAAGGCTTGCCATATGAACTCTTGATTAAAACGTTCAAATTTTTGAATCGACACAATCCATATTGTTTCGTTTTCCGATTATAACTCTTTTTCGTAAATGAAAAAGTTTGATCCTCCATAAGATCAACAAGTAGGTATAAGAAAATTATGGATAAGTAAGATAATAATATATAAGATAATACTAACTTCATTTTTTTATTGATTTTTTACAATTACAAAAATTGTTTTCGATTTTGAAAAACTTTTTCGGGTTTAGACGTTAAATCAAATTCAAATTAATTATGGGATATATGGTATAAAAATAGAGAATCTATTCTCTTTTTACAAAAAAAATGACCTTGGAGATTGTGTAATGCTTACTCTCAAACTCTTTGTTTACACAGTAGTAATATTCTTTGTTTCTCTCTTCATTTTCGGATTCCTATCTAATCTACTCTTATGTTATAAATGTTCATTTTTATACATTACAATGTTCAGAAATAAATGTTCATTTTTTTGCTAGTAAATGTTCATTTTTTTTCCTAATAAATGTTCAATTGTGTTGCGCGGCTCCAGCCAGAGTTAGCTGGGCGCGACCCTAGCTAAAAATTTGCCCTTGACTGTCCCAGCCAAGTCCACTAGTGGTGGGCTGGGCTTAGACAACTCGGCCCAAACTAGTGGACTTGGCTTAGACAACCCGGCCCAAAACCAACTTCACCTGACACTCCTTGATTGCTCGACAGTTGCCACGTACACTATACTAAACGTATCGCGCCATTTGCTTTCTCCCCATTTTAAAAATTTTCCCCAAAAAAAAAAAAAATTAAAATAAAATAATTCACAGCACCACCATTTTCTGTGCCCTAGAACCCTCCCTTCTTCACTCTCTCTCCAATTTTCCAGAAACCCGCCATTTTCATCTCTTTCTCTCTCCTTAATGACGCCACATTCCTACTCTCTCGATTCCCAATCCAAATCCTCCGACCTCGCCGGAAAATTATTCGCCGCCAATTCTCCGGCGCAAATCGCCACCGTAATCACCGCCGTCGAATCGCACCTCTCCGTTCACTCTCCCGACCAAAACCGCCATTTCTTCTCCCTCGCTTTTCCTGCTTTTCTCTGCAAGTTCTTCGGCTTCGACGTTTCTTCGTCTTCTCCGCAAAAATCGCCTTCTACTGCAGCTGGTTGGATCGATACGGTGTCGTTTTCTAATGATTCTGAACTCGCTGGTAAACTTTTTAGCCTTTTGTCGCCTAATGGAACCCTAATGAATTCAATTATGGCCGTTGATCGATTATCTCTTGTGAAATTTGTGTTTCCTGTTGAGAGGTTGCCTGAGTGGGTTAGGTTTTTGCTTTCCAGTGAGAAAGAATGTCGAATTATATCTGATTTGGTTCCGTTGTTTAAGGGGAGGATTAAGGAGGATGAAATTAAAGGGAATTTTCAGGTTCATTTGAATGTTTTTGAGTACTTGATTTTTTGGTTTGCTTATTATCCTGTTTGTAGAGGTAAATGTGAAAGTTCTGGAACTGTTTCTATTAGAAATAGTAGGAAATCTAAGCTCGAGAATTGGGCTTCGTCGATTCCGGTGATTTCGAGTGGTAGTAAACGCGCGCCAGAGCAGAAAACTGATTGTAATTTGTATTTGAAGCTTTTGTATGCCTATTTAAGTGCTTTCGTGCCAATGAATGATTTGAATGCACATCAGCCTTACCGTAGTTCACTTCTTCATTACTCGCCGAGTTATGATGATTCTGTTGTTTTGAGAGCTGAGTTTTGCATTGAGACCTTGGTGCACTATTGGTTGGTGGATAGTGACTTCTCGCCTTTGGCTGTGAACGTGTGCAAATCGTTTGGTTTGTCGTTTCCATTTCGCTCAGTGTTGGGTGAGACACCCCCTGCTTCAGGATTGGGAGAAGTGGTGAAGTTGTTTGTGAAGTACTTGAATTTGAGCTCGGTGGTGGTAACTGATGGGTCTAAGCAAGATGAGTATAGTGGAAGTCCAATGCACAAGAAGTTGGGTTCCAGTGATCTTATGAAAGTTAGGGAGGCTCCTTATGTTTTGTCTAGCTTGTCATCTAGTGGATCTTGGAACTCCCACGTACAAAGGCCGTTGTATAGATTCATTCTAAGGACTTTTTTGTATTGTCCAATGGGGTCCTCTTTGAAGAATATTTCCGAGGTTTGTTCTGTCTGGATTAGTTATATTGAACCATGGAGGCTTAGCAAGGAAGAATTTGCAGAGTTTGATACAATGGAAGATGCCTCTAAGAAAAGGCCAGACAAAGAACGTGGTGATTCCAACCAGCTGCAATATTCAAGTAATTGGCAAGGCTATGTGCTGTCTAATTATCTCTTCTACACATCGTTGGTCATGCATTTTATTGGTTTTGCTCACAAATTTCTTCATACTGATGCTGAAGTGATTGTCCAGATAGTATCAAGGGTATGTTTCATGCACATCTGTTGATTTTATTACTTTTGCTTCTCTATAAGCTGAATGAAATTGTTTTGATTTGCTTATTTCATCTCTAGCATTATCATGAGATCAATGACTCAAATTACAGCATTTAATATGTCAGTGTAATTGTGCTGGAATATTAATGCATTGAAGAGTGGAACTCCTAAAGTTAGAAAAGAATCTTGTTCCATGCCCCATTTTTTTATCCGTTGCTTTGAGCTCTGATTCTGAAGGGAGTTATAGATGTATTTTACATAAGCGTAAATAGATATATGGGGGAGGAAGACATTTAGAGTTACCATCAACTCTTACTTTGTTAGACAGGGGTGGAAAAGTATGACTGAGTCACCACTAAGAGGCACAACCACTCCCCTTCCCTTTCTTCATGTTTGTTCTCTGGTTTCTCTTTCCTATTTATCTTGCTTCTCCTTTAAAAACTGCCCCACCTTTGAAGAATACATGGATAGGGTGCTGATATTTCAAAAGATAAGGTGAAAATACTCTGTAAGGATTTACTTAAAGTGCTCCTCGTATGTGTGATACGCTTGCCTTTGCCGTGGCATTGAAAACCTTTTGTGGTTTGGGGCACTTGTGCTTTTCTTAGTTTTCTAAGACATAGTTCTGTGATGATTACATCTATCAGTATAGATGATGTAGGAGTTAGGGGTAATTTAAAACGCCTTTGGAGGTTTTTGAACCTGTGTTTTCAGTCACATTGTTGTCAGGCCTGATCTTTATGGTGAACTAAAATTGCATGTGTAGGTAGATAGATGTTGTGTTGAATTAGGTGATTATGTCAAATTGTGAGGATGTTTAGCAATTTTTAATGCTAAATGATTATTCAAGCTCATTTGCCGTGAAGGAGAAGGTGTAGTGACAAGAGTGGCTTTTATCATGGCTGTTTCTACTACGGTATTTGTGGGGTGAAACTTTGTGTTATTCTCCTATATTCTCAACTTTTTGATGTCTTTTAAAAGGAAATTGGTAAACAGTTGGCTGACTGGTGTAGGGGCACATAGACCATGGTAGTACATATTGACTTGGGATGTGATGACAATTATCGTGTAGTGAAATATTTGTTGGAAGCTGAAATATTCTGCACTGTGATTGTCCTTTTGATAATTGATGTGGATAATTAAGACGTGCTATCTTCTGAAAAGTGTGGAGTTTAGATCTTATGCAATTAATCTTTCCAAATTGCTTGGTTCGTCATCAGCAAATCTTTTAATGCTTGGGGATAGTAAAGTGGAACATGAGTTTTTTTTTTTATTGAATGTAATTTATGAAATTATGATCCATTAGTTTCATTTTTATTTTATAAAGGTACCCGTGATAAAAAAATAATTGCTTTGTTGCTACCCAAAATTATTCTTAAGAGGTGTGTCGCGGGTATGATATATATCTTCTTTCTGCTTGACCATTTCTTTACTGCTTCCTTCTGATGTTTAAATGTTATGGGAAACTAGCGTGTTGCTGATGTTTCTCACGATTTGGTAGCCTTTGTGATTGTCTCGTCTAGTCATCCTGCCATAAGCTCATTTAGTTTTCTATCCTGGTGCAATTGTATTGCCTAAACTGTCTGGAAAGATTATTGATGATTATCTGTCTCTGCGTTCTTTTCAACAGGTGATAGACATATTATTATCTTCAAATGAGTTACTAGAGCTCATAAAGAATGTCGATGCGGTTTTTCACTCAAAAAATGCTGGGTCTAGCAAATCAGCTCTTAGTAACCTTAACAAATTTATTCCACAGATTCGTGAGCAACTTAAGGTAAACTCACCTTAGTTTATTTAACCATTTTATGTTTCATTGGATACTTGAAAGTAACTGACGATGTATACCTTTGATAATTTTGATTTTTACAGTTTGCTTTATTAATCAACTTTTTTTTTTCCTTCCTAACTTCCATGATCCATCTTATATGTTTATATATATGAGCTCTGCGTTGATATGTAATTCTGTGATTGACACCATCTTTTTTAAAATATGCAGGATTGGGAGGATGGCTTAAGTGAGACTGATGCTGATGGATCCTTCTTACATGAGAACTGGAACAAAGACCTTAGACTCTTTGATGATACTGAGGATGGTGGCTCTCAGCTGCTGCAGGTATCTCCATCTCTTCAGTGTCTTGCTCTCTGTGCTCCTCTTCACAAACACAACTATAATAGTGAAAGTGGCTAAGTCCTGTTTGTTTCTATTACTAGGGTTTGCTTTTAGTTTTGGCTGATTTTGCCATTTTGGCATCTGCTATAAGCCTATAATAATGCCTTCTGATTATTTTTCAGCTGTTCATATTGCGGGCGGAGACTGAGCTTCAGGCCATCTCTGGTGATAATCTTGCAAACAATCTCCAGTGTTTGCAATCTTTGAAGTCAAAGTTACACTGTTTATTTGGTGACCATGCTGTGAAGCAGTCTCCAATGTCTCCGAGAACAAAACAGCAACAACAATTCCGTGATGAGCTATTCAAGCCTAGAAGGGTGGGTAATGTTTCAGTTGCCTATGATAACTACAAGGGTGATTGGTTGAAGCGGCCCATATCAGATGACGAGGTTGCTTGGCTTGCAAAGCTTCTGATCCATTTCTCCATCTGGCTTAATCAAACTTTAGGGCTATATCAAGGAGGAGTTGATGGTAGTTGTCCTTATGTGGAAGTACCAACTGACGTAGTAAATGAGTGGGGTATGTCTGATTTTCTTAAAGTGGTGGTGTGTTCCATAGCATCTTGGTTTTTGGCTGTGCGTTTGACAATATCTAGGTTGATGATAAGATACGGACTGAGAGTGAATCTGAGGGTCTTTGCCTCTAAGAAGATTGTAACAGTGGTATTTGTGTTTGCACTGTTCAGCATGCTGAGGAGAGCTTTTAGGTCTATTTGGTAAATGTGATTTAGTACATGAAAGAGTAGATAATTTGGAAGTCTGTCTATGGCAAGATTTTGGGGCTTAGAACTTTCTCTGTTACTGTAAATACAACTTGCACACATGTAAATCTGGTGAATGATACTGGTTTTCTGTCAGTTAATTACCATGGAACTGGTTTCGGCTGATGTCCATACAGAAATCTAGAGGACCAGAGGTATTATTTTGGATTGTGAAGGCTTGAAGCTTTGGTCTTTTTTTACTATTAAAAAATGCTGAAATTTTTGGTTCTAGAAGTGAATTTGAAAGGACTTTCATGAATGTCTAAATGTAGTTCATGAGGCAATTGAGGCCTGATTCTGGCGACCAAGGACAGGTTAATGGATATCAGAAGGCCTGAGTTCCAGTTTATTTCATAAGGAAAAAAGTAGGTAGTTTTTATATTGCAAAGGTGTGGAACTATACAAAGGTTGTTTTGTAACAAACCTATTTTCAGGTTTGTTTTTCTTTCTTTTGATTTTGGCAAAGTCAACATGTTCTGCACTTCTCAAGTTCTCATAGATGAACGATGTATTACAGCTAATGACCTTAATACATCTTACTGCGTAAATATGCATTTAGTGATGATACCTTTTCTTTTTGACAATTATGTCTTGGTAATATACTCGATTATGGTTTTCTGATGAAGTTTTAATGTTGATCACATTATGCCTTGAAAATCAGGCACTCGAGAAAATTTGAATAGGATACTATCAGCTTTTAATTTTTCCATACTGTTAGCAAGCTTGCTCCAAGTCCATATCTTTCATACTACCTCTGCTGCTTAATACGGAGTAAGATAGGAAAGATGTCCACTAAAATCACCTTAATTGTAGCTTTTCTAGCTTCAGTTTTGATTGTTTTAAGTTACAAAATTAATAGGATTTAGGGATGTCAATTCAGGTAAACTGTTTGGTTTCGTGTTGGGTTTATCTGTTTTGGGTTTTAACGGGTTGGTTTATAACGGGTTGAAATGATTAGCGGGTTGGTTCGGGTTGGTTTTGAAAATTATCCAGTCGGTTCGGTTTGGATTTTTTTTTTAATTGCGGTTTCTATTCGGGTCGGGTGTAATCGGTTCGGGTCATAATTAGTTTGGGTTGAATCGGGCCGTTTGAAAACAGGTTTTGCCAGTTTAAAGCGGGTTTTGATTAGGGGTGAGCATGGCTGCATGGGTTGGGTACCCATACCGTTAACACTATCGGTTCGGGTACTCGATAACCAATAACACTAAATATGATATCCATTAACCGAACCGATAAGTTCGGGTACCCGAATATTCGGATCGGTTATCGGGTACCCAATATGTTATCCAATAATGAAAATTTAGACTTTATAATCTAGTTATTATGATATCATTCAACACTAATTAACAATAATACCACATGATCATGACCAAATTAGTAATAATATTACTAACCATTGAAATTATGAAGTGATTATGACGTAAAGTAAGGGTTTAGATTTTGGAAAAATATATTTAAGTAGGAAAAAAAAAAGAAAAAATTGCTTATCGGATCGGATCGGGTAATCATTAGTTTTTAAAATGATATCCAATAACCGTACCCGATAACAAATTATCGGATCGGATACCCGAACCGTTATGGTTATCGGAACGGGTACCCTAATTTTCGGTTCGGGTTTTCGGATAATTTTGCTCAGCCCTAGTTTCGATACAAAGCAGTTTGGGTCCTAATCAGGTCGGGTTGTAATAGGTTCGGGTCATAATTAGTTTGAGTTGAACTGGTCGGTTTGAAAATGATTTTCTGTTCAATATAGATAGGGTGAAATCAGGTGAGGTCATAATCGGTACAGGTCATAATCGGTTTGGATTGAATTGGGTCGGTTTGAAAATGGGTCTACCCAGTTTGAACTGGATTTTAGATCAAATCATATCAGGTTAAAATCGGATTGGATCATTATACAGGCAGGTTAATCGGATAATGGGTAGGAACGAGTCAGGTTATAATTGAGTTAAGTCTTAAATAAGTTGCATTTATCGAGTAATGGGTTGAAATGGATTGGATCATAAACATATTGGGTTAAAGATTGTAAACAACTCAGTCATAATGGGTTACGGGTTGTAAACGATTCGATCTCAACAGGTTGTGGGTTGTTAACGGTTCGGTCTCAGCAGGTTACAGGTTGAAAATAGTTCGGTCACAACGGGTTGCGAGTTATAAATTATTCAATCACAACGGGTTACAGGTTGGAACGGTTAGGATCTATCGGAGTTTTGCCGGGTTCAAATGGTTTTGGTTTAATATGGTTAGGTTATTATCGTGTTCGGACGTAATCGGTTCGAGTTGTTTTCGATTTTGGGTTGTAACGGTTTGGCTTGATAACGGGTCGAGTCATTAACAATTTACACAAATTCGGTTCGGTTCAGTTACGGGTTGGAAAAAATTGGGTCGGCAGGTTTTCGGTTTTAAAAAAACGGGTTTTTAACGGTTCGGTTCTTTTTCTGATCGGTTCGAAACAGTCAGATTAGAAAGGATTTGATTACATGAATGGGTATAATTAATTAAAACCTTTTGTAACACTAATATAAATGAACTATCTTCTTCTGCTTGAACGCTTAATCCCATAAGTAAAGTCAGCTACATGAACCAACATGAGTACTTTCGAAGAGGTCACCAATATAAATGAACTATCTTATAAATAAATGAACTACATCTTTTAGTTAGCCATACGCCCATACGTATATACATATATTGATTAAGAAGTCGGGTTATCTAGATTAGTACATAATTGAGTAGGATACAAGGATAGTATTATGTTTTGTATCAATTGCAACTACTAGCAATGTATATCCGGCCCTTGAAGGCATCACAAAAATAACGTAGGGTGGGCCGAGGTATAAATGAGATGATTTCGGGCATCAAGCTACATAATAGGTCTTCCAACATCCCGAGGCCCTCTTGGAATCACAAGAATAACCTTGATGCATAATCATGTCGGGTCCAAAAATGTACTCCAAAAGCCAATTTTTTGAAAAGCTACACGTATAAGCCTATACACGAAATCAGAAATTTTTTTGGAGTTTTCGGATTTCGGAGCCGAAAACTCACAAGATTTTGTCATATAATGTTGTTGAAATCATATACGACTATTATTCGGTCACATAAAGCGCATGACGACCTTGAGTCAATGAAAGGCATATACGTAAATGGATAGATTGCAGTTTAAAGGTAAAGTGGACGGTTCCAACCACCTAATGGCTTCTCGAGGGTGCCGTAGAGTCCAGACCGCCGACCTCTTTTCTTTTTAGGTCCGATCCGAAGAAGTAAAAAGTCCAAAACTAAAGCTGATACACAAAACCCAGTCCAATTTTGGAGGTTTCAAAACCCATTGTCGAAAACTCTCGAGATTGTAAGGAATGCATTCAAAGGTTGAATAATGTTATTTGGAATTATATATGGCCACTAGTTGGTCATATAAAGTACTTTGGGATATTTGTCGGCCTTGAGTTAATGAAGGGAGGTGTAAGTTATTACAACTATATTGAAACTTTAAAGACAAAGTGGATAGTTCTAACCACTCAAATGGACTCTCGGGGTGTCACGGGATCTACGGGAAGTACTCCGACATGTTTCTTTTCAGGGTCTAAAATACTCGAAATATGTCCTATTTTAAAGGCTATAATCTTGCTTTTGGGCCAATTTTGGGAAATTTTTTCTAAATTAAAGTGAATGTATGAAGTGTCTCCTAGGATCATATAACTTGGTTTAGTAAGAGGCCTATCAATAGATCATTGATTTCAGGAAGACTTCCAGGAAGAGCAGATAATGAGATAAAAAATAACTGGAATTTTCATTTGAGCAAAATAGTTAATCAGGAGGGAAAAAAGACAGAAATTTTGACACCTATTGCTACTACTACATCAAGAAGTGAAGAAATCAGAGAAGAAACTGTAAAAATGAAGACAGTAAGATTATAATTGATAGGATGGACTTATTCAATTTCTCTACTTAAGGTACCTATGGCATGGATTGGATTGAATAATTTGTGGAAACAGGTGAACAAGGACCATAGATATGTATTGTGGTGCAGAATTTAGTCTAACACAGGGGCACAGGGCAGTGAAAACTATGGAGGCTTTAAGAATATGCCAGGTCTCTGCCAGCAAAAGGTAAAATACGAGTAAACTCACAAGTGGCACGCGCTAGTGTATAATATTTGGAATCGAATCACATCTGTATAACTAAAGGCTGCAACATCAAATGTATAGAGCTATAAGCTAAACAATTTTAAGTTTTCATTCCACTGAGAAAAGTTTACAGGTACAATTGTTTACACTTTACTGTACAGTAATAACTACTTCGTATTGAGTACAACATCAATGATTTCGTGGGTAAAAAAAATTCTTTTTCTCGTGTATATCCTAAAATATCCACTATAACCTAAACCTATGTGCATCGTGTGGAAGGTATTGAGCTGTGTTGGTTCAATATATAGCATTCATAAGGTTTTTAACTGTTGCATACTGAACTTCTTCAGTGTGAGGAAATGAATGAACAAATATACTATCCTCTGATGTAAATAGTTAAAGCAATGATAAATTAACCTTTTCATGTGTTGTATTTCATGTACTATGATAGAGTATATTCCTGATCAAATGACTTGCTTGTCTTGCCATCTCTTGGTTCTTAATTTCCGTACCTCAGAATTTTCATCTGTTGAATCTTCCTGCAAGAATTATCATAGAACATTAATCTATGGCGAATAAAAGAAGACAATAGGTCCACAAGAGTTTAAGATCGTGTTGATAAGTCATCACCGGCAACTACAAATAGCAGGATCAGTCTGATACCTAAATAATCAATAGATTCTCTATCTCTGGATGTGCAGCTTCAACTGTTCTTGAAGCAAGATGCTATTGCAGCATCAAGATGAGCAGCGAAGTTGAAATATTTGTATTCTTTCTGTCCATTCTCTCTGAGAGGTTCCAGTAGTCATCACTTGGGAACAAATTCTTTGCTCAATAACAGATAATGTTACATGGCCTAATCATATCAACATGACACAGCTCTTCTGCTAATCAGGAATTTGAATCTGGTTTAGTCTGCTATGCCAAATTGAGTGCAAGATCATGTGGAACAAATCATACTTTATTGGCCTAGAATTCCAAAAGAAATGTCTCTGAAGCATTTTCAGGTTCTGAAGCATTTTTAAATATCGTTTTAGTGGGATAGCCTCAAGAATTTCTTTTAACTTGGGAATGTCCTCCTCAGCCACTGTCACAGAAAATGCACTCCAATCAAGCACATCATCAAATGGAGGAACAAAATTGTCTGCAATAATCACAGGAACACATTCATAGTATATAGCCTCGACAATCCTTGGGCTGTTGACTTCATAACCCATCGGACAAAGGCAGAACTTGCTAGATTTCATGTGCTGAATGTATGATATCTGCTTAGACACCCTATGAGGCAAAGGTCCATAAATCCGCATAGACTCATCTTTGTTATGCCAATGTTGGAGAAGCAAAGGACGGACTCTTCCATGCATATTTCCAGCAAAGAAAGCCAGAATTGGGCGTTGTGATACTCTCATCCCACCACCAATGTTCCGAAGAGGTTTCCTGGGTACTCTTATTGTGGTTTCTGGGAGGGATACATCTTTACCAGCCTTAAATATTCCTTCAGATAAATCAGCATTACAAACAGCTTTTATGGAATTCTCCACTAACTCCTTGTGTGCCTTTAATGTGTAAGGGCCCTATATACAACATCAATTACATGTTAATGGAGCAGAATAAAAGATGAATAATGTGAGAAAATAAAATTGAGGCAGTTTAGGTAAAAAAAAAAAAAAGTGTGATTATGCTGATGACAAGAACTCTAGTTATAAGTAAAGGGCATAGATATGTACCCAGTCATGACAAGCCACTAAAAAGTGATCTGCTCCACGAGTGCGGTTCCAGAAAGGATACTTAGCAGCCAGCAAGTTCACGTAGTCTCTGATGAAAAGAGAGAGGGGAGCCAGATTATGTGATCCTTGTACATAGAGCGCTTGCTGGAGCTGACGAGCACTATATGGCAGATAGAACAAATGGGCCATCTCAGGGTTTCTGGTGACAAATTGCCTGTTTCCTTCTAATAACTTCATAAACCATCCCTCAGAGGCATAAATTCCGCTAAGATGTGGTTCGTGAAATATGGGTGGACGTCCATCAGGATAAACATATACTTTAAGTATCAGCTCCATTAGTTCATAACTCCTACAGTTGAAAGTGAAAACATAAGAGAACGAAAGACAATTTGTTGTCAAATCAGGATGAATGATGTTACAGTAGGCTTAATTGTATCTCGAACATGACATAAGATTACCAAAGCTGCTAGATGGCTAGATGAATGCAGTTCTTTCACTAGCTAAAGTGCTAAATACTGACAGTCTAATATACCATGGTTTACGTCACCTCCAAGCAAAAGAATAGTGAAACAGGAGAGCTATAATCATACATTTAACTGGCTAACAGGAAATCAGAGGCATCATATGTATCACACATATATGATTTTACAAAGGAAAAAGAAAGCTTAACCTAGTTTTAGGCCTAAATTTTTCATGGAATCCACTTACAATGCAAGTCACCTTCTCTTTACAGAACTTAACATTTTTTGTTCCTGATGCGATTGAGAAATGATCGATAAGGCCATGAGTATCCTCCGTATAACTCTGATCACTCTAGTTTAATGATTTCATATTTCTAGGGAAACTAATATAAGTTTGGAAAAGTAGTTGGAAAACCATAAGAGACTAAATATGTAAGAAAGAACATACCTTTGGAAATTAGAGACATTCTTAAAGATAGGAGCATATAGATCAGAACCATTGCCAAAAAAAGTGGCATTCTTCAACTCCTTTTTAGCATACAAAAGTGCTTCCTTAGGTGATAAGGACCATACATATCTCTATATCAAAGGGGAAAAAACACAAAGTCAAGTCATGTAAAAAACACAGTATTGTATGTATTAAAACTTCAGGGAGATATCAGAAAAACTAATATACCTGCAAAGGTGTTGGTGGAGATCGAGGAGGGGGAGGAGGGGAAGCCGGGATTTGGAATTCTTCTTCTCGCTTTTTCCTCCTCCTCCTTTTTCTCTCAACACTATGTACTCTCTTATTTAGTACACTCGGCGAATTCAATGAAACAGGTATCGAAATTTGGTGTAATGGCCAGTGTTTTCCATGTCTCAAGCTTAAATGCAAAGAATTACTGAAATCTTTAGCACTTGTAATTCTGATCATGGGAGAATGAAGCCATGTAGAAAGTGGAAATGGAAGAAGACTAATTTGAAGAACAATTCCAACTGTTGTTACAATGGTTAATATGAGAAACAATTTCCTCCAATCAATTTTGTACACCAATAGTACAATAAGACGTTTTAGTAATTTGTTCATCTCATCTCCAATTGTTTCACCTCTTAGAACCCGAAATTCCCCTGCCATTATGAAAAATGCAAATGATTAAAACGGAAACTAATCATTTGTAACTTTGTTCTTGAGACTAAACAATCTACACACGTACATAGGAAACTCTTAGCTTCTTAAGCAGTTTATACATGCTCTTTCTGTTCGGAATTAATTGTCACGTTGATAATATTAATTGAGTTTACGTGACAATAAAAACCCCTATTGTACTTTATTCAAATAGTCACCATACAAGGTCAAATGTCAATAATGAAGTATTAAATTGCCGATTATACTTAATCCTTTTTCTTCCCAACTAACCCACTAGAAGCACTAAACCTACACTCAACTAATGAAAAAGTTCTCTCCATTAATTCAAAATTAGAAAGAAACCTTAAATAAATCATATGAATCAATATACAAAAATGGGTATTTTTAATTTGAAAAAAAGAAATTAAAAAAACTTAACTTTATGCAGAAATTTGAATTCAAACCTCCTTTTTTTTTTTTTAAAAAAAAAAAAAAAAAAAAAAAAAAACCAGAATATATTAATTTTTCATACTACTCCCAACCTAAAATAGAAACAAATCCATAATTCTCGAGTTATTAATTCCAGAAATTTGAAGATTATATGATAAAAACACACTTTTGGGGGAAATTAATAAACATAAATTTAACAAATCACCAAATATAAATCTAAATCGATTAAAATAAAAACTTACAGGAGAAGAAAAGGGTAATTCAGAACAGAGTAAAACATCCAAAAGACGAACAACAGAGAAGCTGAAAAAGGTAAAATAAATATTTTGAGAAAGAAAAATCGAAAAATAAAAAGAAAAAAGAAAGGACGAAATTATGAGGAAAATCGTCTTCAGAAAAAAAAAATGATGAAAGGAGAAAAGAAATTGAGAAAGTCAGTTGAGGAGGGAAGAAAGCAAGAATCCGCGGTTAACGGCTTTCCTTTATATAGTTGGACCTTAATCGATAATTATAAATATTTAAAATAAAATAAAAAATATTTGAACAACCTATTAACTTGTCTTTTCTCCTGGATTAGCTATTAGACAGCTAAAGGTTGTTATTCTTATTTTTTTGACAACTTGACAAAGATTTACACTCTTATTCGTTTGGGGTATACTAGTATAACATTCCCTACTTTCACATCTTTGGACATATAATAGCTAAGTGCATATTGCAACTAGTTGGATCGATAATTTTTGACAAATATGTAAAATGGAATGTTAGTCTACAAGGATGGTAATAATGTATCATTAATACATCACATCGAAAAAAAATAATTGACCTGACATAAGAAATGAACTCGTGTTACGACAAATTTTGAACCAAGGGACGGGAAACTAACCACTTAGGTTTGTTACCAATTTTAGAAAAACTATCAATGATGAAACATGCATGCAAAATATTAATAGTCCAATTTTATGGTGATTTAATAAAAAAAATTCTCACACTTGAATCCAAATTGGTTGAGTGTAACAAGATTTTATTCAATACTTAAGATTCTTAAATGCTACTGACAATGGCATAATATTAGGATTATAGGAGATATATAATTATGACATATATTCCATATATAAAACTAATTATGATATTAATTATTTAGGAAAATAATATATTTTCCTATATTCCTAGCTAAATTGTAGTGCATAAATCGAGTCTAACATTTCATATAAAAGACTCTTGTAGTTTGTATTAGACATTGTAGCAAAAGTTTTTTTTAATGGCCAAATAATAATTATTTTGAACCCTAACATACTAACATTACAAAGAGGTATCAGACTAAATAATTATAAATTAAATATTAATATATACTTGGTATGTTGTTTAGCCAAATTGGAACATTGTAACAATTATCAAATGCACATGCATTATCACATGGTTAGCTTAAGAAGCCAGAGTACCAAATTGTGCCCATATTCGGTTTGCAATTGAACAAAATTTAAACTGGATTTATTTTCTTCAAAAGTTGGCCAACCACACCAATTTGGTAATTTGGTTTGTCTAGATTTAACCAATATAAAAGATTTGCTGCATGGCTGGAATAATATGCCCTAGCTCTAGCTTCATTATTATTAATATGGACTTCTTTAATTTAAAATGAGCTACTAATATAATTTGGAATTATAGAGGGTGATTATAATAAATATATAATGGTTGCTTGCTAAATAAGGGATTAGTTATTTGTAGTAGTCGGTGGAAAAAGCTTTGTTCAAATCAAACCATAAAAAGGGAGTTGGCAAATTATAAGATATAGATTTTGGGTGTATCCTAAAGTAAGTTTGATTGTAATCGTTTTTAGTGGATTTCATACTTATTTATTTACCTTTGATAGTCATTAAGGACATGTTCTGTTCACCGTATTTTCACTTATTTCAGGTCTAATAAGTTTAGTTAAGTTAAGATAAATTGAGTTCAGGAAAAAAAAGTTTTGATAAGTTCAATTCTGGAAAAATAAGTTATGATAAGTGATTAGGGGATTTTGCTCCCACCAATCGAAATGCGCCACGTGGGCCAATCAGGTCCTGCCAAGTGTCCCCCAGTTGGACCTCTCAGGGCTTGCCACGTGGCACACGCTTATTCGTCCACCCTGGACCTATTATGTCATGACACGTGGCATACTCCATGCCTAATGGAGAAGTCGGCCACCTAGGCCCAACTTCCGAGGGAAGCCCAATCAGCCCAAGGTTAACCTAAACCTAGGATTGGCACGTTTCCCGAGGATTATAAATACCTCCCTTAATCCTCATTAAGGGGGATTACGCAGATTACACACATTAAACACTCTCACCTAGAGAGACTCAATCACTTTAATTTCCGCATTAATTACTCCTTAATCAAGTACTAACTTGACCGTCGGAGGCGGATCTCCAATCATCCGGAGCATCCGTTTGTTTTGCAGGTACAGGCGTCCGGTTCCAGTCTCGGAATTGTAACTTTCCGCAGGACATCAGAAAACCCCGAAACATTTTTGGCGTCGTCTATGGGGAGAGTACTTCTGAGATGGCATCCACGTTTGTACCGGCTCCTGAAGAGAGACGTCCCCTGGACGACCCTCTAGTTCAGTCGGACCACGATACTGAGAATGAATTTGAAGTTGAAGCTCACACAGCTTCAGACGGGACCCTAAGGGCCCGACGTACCCGTCATACCGAAAGGAGGGAACGGGAACATCTTCAAACTGGAAGTGAGCCAGCAGGCGCACCGCCTGTTCGGCAGCAGCCGACTGATGGGTCTGCTCCCATCACAAAGAACGAACTCATGACCTTCATGAGAGACTTCAAGGGAGAAATTCAAGAGTTGATCAACAAGAGGCCGCCTGCTCTGGACAAGGAGCAGTCGGCTAAGAAACCCTCCACTTCACGGAAGAGGAAGCCAATTCAAGGACGTGAGGCGACCCCTCATCCTAAATCTAGGAAGTGGGAGCCGCCTGCCCTTGATTTCACAAAATACCGTTTTCCTACTCCAGGAAAGAGGAAACATGTTCGTCATATTCAGGCGGACGGGTCGAGGAAAACATACACAGATGCTCGGCTACTGCTAGAGCAGAAGAAGAGTGACCGATTGTCAGAGTCGGCCTCTACTTCAAACTTCCAAGACAGTCTGCGCAATACCTCGATGAGGCATACTCAGTCGTATCATGAGAGTCAGTCAGGCGGCACCTCCCGTCAGTCCGGCTTTCATAGCGACCAGGCGGTACCAAACTTACCGTTTGTACCGCAACAACAGTATTTTTTGCAGCCACCTCCGTTTGGTGGACATGCAACAAAAAATGTCCAACCTATGGACTGGCAGCTACGGTTGCTTAGACTTGGCGAACAGCCGTCGGCCTTCTCCAAGGAAATTACTGAAGCCGCTCAGCCGGCCAAAGTGAAAAATGTATTAGTAGGCGCCTATGACGGCACTACTAACCCTGAAGACCATCTGATGGCATTCACCAACCTGATGTACCTTCAAGGGTTGGATGATCCCACTTGGTGCAAGTGTTTCCCAGCGACTCTCAAAGGAATCGCACAACAATGGTTCGGCAACCTGCCGACTGGTTGTGTAAATAACTTCAGGACGCTTGCTTACTTATTCACCTCCAACTTCGCCATGAACATCCCTGCGAAGAAGACAACCCTTGATTTAGGAACGATTCAGCAGGGCGAGAAGGAGGGGCTTCGTTCTTACATCAGGCGGTTTAACCTGATGAGAATACAGATTCAAGGGTTACCGGATGAAGTAGCCTATACTAACTTTTTCAGAGGTCTCAAAGACGGGTCGACCTTCAAATTTGATTTGGTCCGAAAGAGGGTGGCGACTCTTCAAGAGGCCTTGATTGAAGCGGAAGCCTATATACAGGCGACTGATCTTTGTAGTACGGTAAAACAGTCAGACGGGAAAAGGTCCGACAAAAGAGAAGGACGACAGAAACAGTCGTCAAACAAAGATGAGAAGAGAAAAGAGGTGTGGGCGGCTGATCCCTCTAAACAGCCGGCCCAGAAGAAGAAAAAAGAATTCAAACCATACTCCCCAAAGTATGCGTTTAACAAGGATAGCCAATTTATCCTAAAGGAAATCAAGGGACGGATCTCAATTGAGAAGCCGGTCCCCATGAAGGGTTCTGCAAACAACCGAAACCAAGAAAAATTCTGTGATTATCATGAAGATGTTGGTCATCACACCAATGAATGCATCAGTCTCATGCGGTATCTGGACCGCCTGGCTGAGCAAGGTGATCTTGACACTTATGTCAAGAAATCTACGGGGAACACTTCCTCGAAAAAGCAGTCGGCCAAAAAGAATCAACAGGCCGACAGTTCCGATACAGATGATGCAGTCGTCTACACCATTGCAGGCGGCTTCTCAGGAGGCGGCCCCACTATTAGGGGCAACAAAGACAATATCAGACGGCTAGATGTAAATTCCGTTCACCAAGAACGGCCCTCCAAATATTCATTTCCTGAGATTGTCATCACTGAAGAAGATCTAGGAGGGGTAAGAGGGCCGCATGACGACCCTATCGTTATTGAAAGTAAAGTGGCCAACCAGAGAGTTGGCCGAATCCTCATAGATACCGGAAGCTCCTCAGATCTCATCAGTAGCAAATGTCTGTCGAAACTAAAATATCAGACTGATTGCATACATCCGGCACCCCACCCTTTAGTAGGGTTTGGAGGAGGAGTCGTCCACCCAGTGGGACGAGTGGATTTACCCATCCGCCTGGGTGAAAAAGGGGAAGGACGACACATGGTAGTCCGGTTCCTGGTAGTAGAAGAACTCTCGGCCTACAACATGATTCTGGGACGACCAACCCTGAATAATTCCAAGGCTGTTATAATCCCATCTCTTATGTTGCTCAAGTTTGAGAGGGATAATGGAACAGTCGGGTCCCTAAGGGGAGATCAGAGGATGGCCCGAGAGTGCTATCTCTCGGATGTCAAGCCCACTGTTATGGCCGCTGGGTCGAGTGGTGGAAAAACAGACCTTGACAATGTCAAGGAAAGTGCGCCTGTTCAAGAAGCAGGCGGCAAGAAGAGAAAGGCAGCCCAAACGGGGGTCGCAAGAAAAGACAGAAAATAGCAATCATTGGCAGAGGAGCGGTCGGACGAATTCCGCCCTCAGCCAGCTGGTGAGCATACAAACCTGATCTTAGACGACTCACGTCCTGACCGAACAGTCAAAGTTGGGACGACTGCTCTGAAGATCCTGGGTGACGATTTACACAAACTATTGAAAGAATACAAGGACATCTTTGCATTCGAAGTCCACGAAATGCCAGGCATTAGTCCTGACCTGGCGGTACATAAACTGGCTGTGGATCCGAAAAAGAAGCCGGTAAGGCAGAAAAAGCGGAACCATGGCGAAGAAAGAAGTCAGGCGGCAGCCGCCGAAGTCAAAAAACTACTTGATGCAGGGTTCATTCGGCAATGTTACTTCCCAGACTGGGTTGCAAATGTGGTGCTTGTTAAAAAGCCGAATGGCACCTGGCGAATGTGTGTAGACTACACAGACTTAAACAAGGCGTGCCCCAAAGACAGTTACCCTCTGCCTAAAATTGATAACTTGG